GCACTCCAGTCTGGGCGACAGAGTGAGGCTCCAACTCAAAAAAATAAATAAATAAATAAATAAATTCTGAGTTGCGGTTATTTAGGAAGATGTCCTTATTTTTTAGAGTATAATATCAAAGTCATACTGTAGGGGCAAAATTTCCTCATATACGTAATTTACCTTAAAATACTTTGGCAAAAGTTAACCAATGAAGGAAGTAGGGGCAAATGTTCACAACTGCTGCTAAATGTTGATGACAGGTATACAGGTGTTCGTTATTGTTCCCTCCAGTTTTCAGTTTGTGTGAAATATTTCATTAAAAAAAAAAAAAACGTTTTCTAAGCCTCCCTTTCTCCTTATGAGAAAAGCCAGATACCTGGGTCAGCACTCAAGGCCCTGCAAGTCTGGCCCCCACCGCCTGCTGAGCTTGTCTCCTCTTGCCTCAGCCCCGCCAGCCTGCATTGCAGGTCCCCTGAGGCCTCAGCTCTCCCATACCCACAGGTCCTCCCCATCTGTGTGGCTCTGCAGAGCTCTTCCCTCTGCCCTGCCACGCCTTGTCTTGGGGCGAACTCCTCGGTATCTTCAAGGCCCTGCTCCAGCGCTCCAGTCCAAGGAAGCTCCCACCCCTAGGTCTCCTCTGAGCTCTCAGCACTCAGCTGCCCAGACCTGGTCTTGGGAGAGCAGGTCTGGCGGAGTGTCGTGCAGCGGCCCCTCCTCATGCCGGGAGCCACAGCCCAGCAGGCCAGGGCCGTGAGCCTCAGTCTTGCTAGCGTGACGGGTGTCCCAGCAGTGCTCACCCAATGAACACATATGCACAAAGAAAACGGAGAGGTGGTGTCACAGGGCAAGGATGGCATGGTGGGGGCTGGAGCTTTGACACTTTTGTGTTTTCATGTTTTCAACAGAGGAGAGATCTGTGTCAAGTAGGTAAATGGATAGGCAGGTGGTAGGTAGGTGGATGGGTGAGTGGGTGGATGGATAGGTAGGCAGGTACGAAGATAAGTAGACAGGTAGGTAGATGGATGGATGGACAGAAGGCAGATAATGGATAGAAAGACAGCTAGACGACGGGCAGATGGATGGATGGATGGATGGAGAGACAGATAAGTGGACGGACGGATGGGTGGATAGGTAGACGTGTGGATGGGTAGACAGACGGATGGATAGACGGGTAGAGAGGATAGAATGGAGAGAAAAACAGATAGGATGGAGAGATAGATAGAAGGGATCGATACATTAGGTAGATAGATAATGGATGGACAGATAGGCGGGTGGATGGATAGACAGACAGACAGGATAGAGAGAAAGGTAGATAGGATGGAGAGAGAGAGAGATAGATTAGATGGTGCGTGCCTGTAGTCTCAGCTACTCGGAAGGCTGAGGCGGAAGGATCGCCGGAGCCCAGCAGGTCGAGGCTGTGGTGGCCATGAGTGTGCTACGGCACTGCAGCCGGGGCGACAGAGTGAGACTTCAACTCAAAAAAAAAAAAGGAAGATGATTCTCCCCAGGAAATTCTAGGGCATCCCCAAGACACCCTGACCCTGCCACTTCGATTCAGCTGTTCCAGCCTCTGTGCCCATGGCCAGGGCAAGTGCCAACCCACACCCTTTGTGCAGAGGACAGATAGATGATAGAGAGAATGGAGCGACAGATAGATGGTGGGTGGGTGGGTAGATGGATGGGTGGATGATTGGGTGGACAGATGGATAGACAGATGACAGATACCCAGGTAGGCAGAGTACTGTTTAAGTGCATAAAGCCAAGCTTGGTGAAGAGCTGCTCATCCTGGCCCACTTAGGTTTCCAGAAATGGGCTCGCCTGGCTCAGGAAGCTGGAGTACAAAAACAAAGAGATGAGGGTGACTCGGCCAGGCAACTCTCTCTAGCTGTCCGTCATCTTGGGCGTGTCTCCTTCGCCTTCACGCCAACCCCAGACAATGCTGAGACAGGTGGGGGGGTGTGCGTGAGTGGGAGTGTGTGAACGTGTGGGTATTAGCACACGACTGTGCGTGGATGAGTGTTGGTGTGTGTGGGAGTGTGTGTGTGGGTGGATGCAGAATGCGTAGCATGAGTCATGGGGTAGGGTCCCAGCTGTGTGTGCCCCCCTGCGCCTGGCCGCGTGGGGGCTGAGGACCACACAGAGGCCTCCCGACCACACGCCGCAGCCCTCGACCTGATGCCCCTGCCAGACCAGCCCGCTCCATTTATGTATTTCGAGTTTTGCTTTCACTAGACTCACCTTTTTCAACTCAGCATCCTTTATTTTAAAGGAACTTTAAATGGCCCGTGTAAGTGGAGGCCAGCCCCACCCGCCACGGACAGATGGGGCCCTTGGCACGCAACCAGCACCGCGGTCCCCATCGGGCCTAGCTCAGGCAGGTGTGCCCGCCTGGGCTCTTGGCTTTCAAGGGAGCCCAGCCAGGCCGGCTCAAGTGTTAGAGACACATGAGCACCAAGCTGAGCCTTTCTCGGTGATGAGGTCAAAGAACCAAGGAGAACAGAAGAGGGAAGATGGGCCGGGTGTGGTGGCTCACGCCTATAATTCCAGCACTTTGGGAGGCCACAGTGAGTGGAATGCCTGAGCCTACGGATTCGAGACCTGCCTGGGCAACTTGGCGAGACCTTATCCCTACAATAAATAAAAAAATTAGCCAGGCTTGGTGGCGCGTGCCTATAGTTCCAGCTACTTCGAAGGCTGAGGCGGAAGGATCACTGGAGCCCAGCAGGTCGAGGCTGCGGTGGCCGGGAGTGTGCCAGGGCACTGCAGCCAGGGCGACAGAGTGAGACTCCAATTCGAAAAAAACAGAAAGAAAGAAAAGGGAAGGTGATTCTCCCGGGAGATTCTGGGGTGCTCCCAAGACAGCCTGACCCCGCCACTTCGGACTCAGCTGCTCCGGCCTCCATGCCATGGCCAGGGAAAGTGCCAGCCCACACCCCTTGCTCAGCCTGGTCTCAATCTAAGCTTGGGGGTGGCGAGGGGGCACACTGAGCCTGTTTTGGAATCGGAAATGGCTCCGAGAAGGTGGGACCAGTCGGGGGCTTCGCAGGCCTCCGCCCCAACCATGACCACCCCCCAGAGTGGCGCCCTTTCAGGCCCTCAGTTCCTGGCATCGAGAAAGCCAATTCCCTACACGTGCTGTCCCCTCCACCCAGGAAGCCCCGCCCAACCCCAACCCCACTGCTGGCTGCAGCCCAGGCCCCAGGGTTGGGCATGGAGCACCTGCTCCAAGGGATGGGGGTCAGGGCCAAGGTCACAGAGCAAGGAGGCCCAGGAACCCAGGCTGGCCAGTCCTGCCTGAAAACCGAATCCCGAGAGAAAGGACCCTGTGCTCCTTCGGCGCCAGGTCCCCAGGCCTGGCACAGCCCGGGCTGACATGCCCGACACGAGGAAGGGCCCCGGGTTGCTCAGCAGAGCTGGAGGAGGGGTGACGGCCAGGGCAGGCTGAGGGGCCACGGGCGGGCTGGAGGTGCGGGCGGGGACCTCCGGGCCAGGGGCACAAGCACATGAATCAGCTCCGGGTGGAAGCAAAGAAAAGGAATAAAACCAGATGTCCTTGGAAACCCCTTTAGTGCTCTGCTGTCCATGAAAACAGGATAACGTGGCTTCCTCTGTCTGTACTCGGCCAGGCAGGGTGGAGGCGCTGGGCTCAGGCCAGGAGGGCCTGGAGTCAGGATGGGCAGGGCGGGCTCGGAGCTGGGGAAGGGGCTCCAGTGTGGCTACTTCAGGGCATCCAGGTGGGTGCAGACCTGGGAGAAGACACTGTCCACAGAGCCCTCAGCGTTGACCTGTGGGGAGGTGGGCTGTGAGGCTGAGATGGGAGGGCAGGGGGCCCATCGGGGAGGGGACCAACCTCCCCCAGAGGCCAGGCCTGGCTGCCCGAGCCCAGCCTGGTGGATGGCAGCCCTCCCTGAACCAGTGGGGAAGTTGCTGGGTGCAGTGACTAATGCCTCTAATCCCAGCACTTTGGGAGGCCGAGGTGGGAGGATCGCTTGAGCCAGGTGTTTGAGACCAGCCTGGGTAACGTGGCGAGACCTCACCTCTACGAAAACAAGCAAACAAACAACAGCTGGGCATGGCAGTGCACGCTTGCAGTCCCAGCTATTCGGGAGGCTGGGGTGGGAGGACCACCTGAGCCCGGGAGGTTGAGGCTGTGATGAGCTGTGGTTGTGCCACTGCACTCCAGCCTGGGCGACAGAGTGAGACCACTACTTAAAAAAAAAGAATGAACCCGTGGAGTGGGGAAGTCGAGGCCCAGAGAGAGGGGTCACTGGCCTGGGTTTGTCCAGAGACCCACAAGCCAGGCCGGAAGCCATGCGTCCCAAGCGCCCCGTGGGCCGGGGAGCGCACCTTTCGGACGATGCCACGCTTCTCGTAGAAGGCGATGACGGGCTCGGTGGCCTTGTAGTAGGTCTCCAGCCGCTTCTTGATGGTCTCCTCGTTGTCGTCCACACGCCCGCTGGTCTCGCCGCGCTTCAAGAGCCGCTGGGTCATGGTCTCGGGGCCTGCGTCCACATACAGCAGGAGTGTGGGCTGTCCGATCTGTGGGCGGGGCGCGTGTCATGGGACTCACTCCTGCCCCTGCAGCTGTCTCCTCCCATCCCGCCCCCGCGCAGCCTGAGGGACCCTCTCCTGAAACCCATCTTCCCTGCCACTCCCCTGCTTACACCTCCTCCCCGGCTCCAGTGCCCTCGAGAGAAAGTCCACTCGCCACCAGACCTGGAGGGCCTGCCTTCCCCGTCCGCTTGACAGCCTGGCTTCAGCCACACTCACTCAGCTTCGGGCCGCCTCCGCCTCCTTCCCAGGCCGGGCCGTGTCCAGCTGTTCCCTCAGCTGGGAGCCCGCTCCCTCAAGCCCACCCCTAAGCCACCCTCACCCCAGGACCCAGTGCTGGCCTTCAGGGGGCAGCTCCGGTCTCATTCCTTCAGGCCGTCTTCCCGGATGCCAGCCTCCGGGGCCAGGCTCCCCCAGCCCTCTTTGTTTCCCTTCAGCTGTCCCATAGGACCTCCGGTTACTTATTTGGGGTCCCTCTCCCTCAGCCCGGCCAGAAGAGGCATGGGCCACCTCCCTCTGGGGCTGGATGAGGACTGGACAAAGGAACGGGGTGTGGGCGGGGGTGAGGGGCTGCCGAGTTCTGAGTGTACTAAGCAAGACCAGCGTGTCGTCTGGGGGGTGAAGCGCCAGAGGGAACGGCCCGGCAGCCCTGCCCTGCCCGATTCGGCCACCCGTGGCCTCCATGGAGGCCCTGCCCAGGCCGGCCTCCACCCCGAGGAGCCCTTCCCCGAGTCTGGGCACGAGTCCTCAGCCACAGCCAGGCCCTCCGGCCGTGTGAGGAAGGGCCCAGGTCTCCCAGCAGAGGGAGAGAGGCAGAGGCTGGCTGAGCGGGCGTCGCCTGGATTGGGGGCCAGGGCCTTGGGAGCTATGCCTCCTGCTCCCCTCTTCCCCACTCCCTGCTGGTCCAGTCTCCAGGGCCCAGCTGTGGCCCTGACCCCTCACGGGGCCCCAGGGGCGTGCTTCTGGGCGGGGCGTGGAGAGAAACCTGACCTCCCCTGCTGGACGGGCCGGACTCCACACCAGCTCACTATGCCCCGGCCCAGCTGTGCAGCAGGCCCCGATGAGGCTCAGGGTCCCAGCTTGTAACACCCAAGTCAAGGGCAGGATGTCAGTGCCACGGCCCTCAGGGAGGGCAGTGCCGGCCGCCTGGGGACCCCGAAGGACCCGCCAGCTGCTCCCATCGCACGGGTGCCCCGGCAGGCGGAGGCTGGGCCTGGACCCAGCAGTGAGGCCCCATCTCAAGGCCACCACCTCCCACCTCCTCCACCGCTGAGCCAGTCCAGGGCGCAGACTCACAGGCCCTGGTCCACCAGGTCCCCGGGGCCACGCACAGTAGGCTCTTTGCTCACATGGGAGAAGGTGGCAACTCTGTGGGCCGGCTGAGCCTCTGGTGGGGGATCCCACGTGAGATTCTGGACGTGGGGCCTCAGTTTCCCGGTCAGGACAATGGGCGTTCAGCCTGCAGAGGCCGGTCTGGGCACCGCCGGCCGGGGAAGCTCTGGGCCCTTTGGCCAGGGTGAGCCTGCCACGCCTCCAGGCCGGCCCCTCCTCTCTGGTGAAGCCCTGGCGCCCCCTGGTGTCCAGAGCCACGCAGACCAGCCGCCGGCGCCGGGAGGTACCTACAGCCCCCCTGGGCGTGGGGAGTTGGGCACCTTCATTAACCCCTATCTTCTAGTGTGGCCCTGAGGGCTGTGGGTGGCGTCACATGGCTGGCATGGGTGGGCCAGGATGGGACGTCCTGCGGGGCTGCCTGGCATCTGACCACAAGGTCCAGACTCCAGGGTCTGAAGGAAGTCAGCCAGCCCCATGTCACAGGCAGGGAAACTGAGGTCCAGAGCAGGGCAGACACTTTACCGAGGCCTCGGAGCCTCTCAGAGGCCAGGAAATGCCAGTCCCTACCTCGGATGAAGCTCGAAGCTACAGATGCCCAAAGAGGGGCCCCGGAGAGCAAGACCAGAGTGTGGGGGTGTGGGGTCCTCCTGCCCCCAGCCCACCGGGAGGCCCGCTTGGCACCCCACCCTTGCCGGCCTCTCCCTCCTAGGCACGTGCAGCCCATCTGTCTTCCCCACGTGGCTTGTGACACCAGCTGTGTGGGGTATGTGTGTGCACACGCCCAGGCGTGCATACACAGGAGGAGGTGTGCCGCATATGTGCAGGTGTGCGCAGGCGTGTATACTGTGTATACCACCATGTGTGGGCCTGTGTGCCTGTGGCCATAGCCTCGTGTACACGCACCTGCGTGCCTTGTGCACATGTGTGTGTGCCTGTGTCCATGCGTGCTTGCGTGAGGCTGCCCCTACCCGGGAGGAGTTGCTGGTGGGCACCGTGCGAGGAAGCTCAGAGCCAGCGTCCTCACGCCTGCCCCTAACAGCCAGACTCCCTGTGCCCCCGGAGGGAGACAGATGCCGCCCGACATCCAAGGCCTGCAGCCAGGCCGGGACCGCCCTCTCCCACATCACCCTGGCCGCCTGCCCACATGTTCTGTCCCCACAGCGGTCCTACGCTTCCAGCCCTCCCGTGCTGTTCCCTGCCACTCTGCTGTGTGCTGACTGGTGGGGTGAGGGGGCCCAACCCCAACACTCGAAGGGAGCACCCTCTCTAATGCCCACGCTGCCCCTCCAGGCCGCTGTGGCCTGTTTCCCCCAACTCTTCAGATGGGGAAGCATTCAGAGAGGCAGAATGATTGGCCCAAAGTCTCATGTCGTTGAGCTGAAGCTTAAGCCCAGGTTTTATTTATATGTTTGTTCATTTTCTGAGTTGGGGGTCTCTCCCTGTCCCCCAGGCTGGAGTGTAGAGGCACGATCACAGCCCTCCACAGCCTCCACCTCCTGGGCACAGGCGATCCTTCGGCCTCAGCCTCCTGAGTAACTGGGACTACAGGGGCATGCCACCACTCCTGGTGAGTTATTTGATATTTTTTGGGTAGAGACGAGGTCTATGTTGCCCAGGCTGGTCATGAACTCCTGGGCTCAAGCAATCTTCCTGCCTCAGCCTCCCAAAATGCTAGGATTACAGGTGTGGGCCACTGCGCCCACCCTAAGCCCAGGTCTGTGGACTCCCCAGCCTGGTGCTTCCCCTTCTAGACCTTTCCTTCTAGATTTCCGGAGAGGCTTCCTCACGTTCCTCCTCCCCCGCAGCCCTCAACCCAGGCTCTCTCTCCGCCCAGAACTCTGCCCTGTGTCCCAGCTCCGGGAGGGCCAGCCCACTGAGATCAGTGCCTTACCCGCTGCTCGAACGCTTCCCCCTGCTGCACCTCCCGCGGGTAGCCGTCGATCAGGAAGCCTTTGGACGTGTCTATCTTGGCCACCATGGCGTCACGGAGCATGTCCAACACCGTCTCCTGAGGGCACAGCCGAGGAGGAGGGGCCATGAGCCTCCATTTCCCCCCCCAGCCCCTGCTTGTGCTGGTCCCGCCACCAGAAGTGCCTCCCCTCCTACACAAACGTCCCAGACAAGCCTCCCTCTCCAGGAAGAGGCCTCCAAATTGTGGAGGCCTTGACTGAATGAATGATGTATTCACTCAGCGGTATTTTTTTGTTTTTGTTTTTGTCTCGAGTCGGGTTCTCACTCTGCTGCCCAGGCTGCAGTGCAGTGGCATGATCGTGGCTCACCACAGCCTCAACTTCCTGGGCTCAGGTGACCCTTCCGCATGTGCCTGCAGTCCGGAGTAGCTGGGACTACAGGCACATGCCACCACGCCCAGGTAATTTTTGTATTTTTGGTAGAGACGAGGTCTTGCTATGTTGCCCAGGATGGTCTCGAACTCCTGGGCTCAAGCAATCCTCCCGCCTCAGCCTCCAGAAGTAATGGGATTACAGAAGTGAGTCACCGCACCCAGTCCACCCAACAGTATTAACCCAGCCTTTCCTCCCAGCCAGGTGCCGCTCTGGGCCCTGAGGACACAGCTGTGGACAAAGCAGACCCTCCCAGCCCTCAGGAAGCTCAGGGATCACAGTTCCACGGCTGGTTCACCGATTTCCAAGCATGACACAGGGCGTATGGGCAGAGAAGGCGGATTGCTGGGGTACAAACTTAAGGCGTCTTGGCCCAAATCTAGGGCATCAGGGACATCTGAAAGCCGAACAGGAAAGCATGTTCCAGGCAGGAAGGCGTGTGGCCAGCTTGAGGGGACAGAAGGGCCAGGAGGCCAGGGGACGGA